ATAAACTGCCCTGTAAATTTTGCCCACTATAGAGGATATCGTTAAGCGACAGGTGAGTGCTAGTTTTAGCACTAGCGTCGAGCACTACACGTAACTTAGATGTAAGTTTGTCCTCCCTACTGACCCCGTGGTGTGGTATGAAATACGACGGTGTGTCTTCGTAGTTATCTAATTTCGAAGCCACGAGTGATATGTAAACCTTCTCTTATATATTCGTTAATGACGCCGTCATAAGCTTCCTTTAACTGGGGTGAAGCGAGCATCCTACGCTCCAAGCTGTAGAAACGTTTTTCCGCCATTTGACGCGAATCGCCGAGAGATAAAACATCTCCTTTAAAGGGTAGCGCTACAATATATCTACCGTCGCGATCACGAACGGTCGTGCGGACGTAAATTTCCTCGCATAATCTGTCATCTGAGCTAGCTATGGGTGGGACGTTCACCTCCTCCATCTCCCAAAATTTGCGGACTAACGACTCGAGCGGTTCGACAGCCATACCACAATAAGAGGTTGCTGAAATACTATCTATGATGGGGGCGGAGCCAACGATAACATAGCCCAATACGGCCGTGCTAGAGGAGTTGCCCCTGACCTTATTGTTAACAATAGTTGAGGGAAAAGCGATGCTCCAATGAGCATGTCTATGTTTCCAGGAACGGCGTAAGTGTCGTCCGCTAGAGTCAAATTTCTAAATTCAGTCATTGCCGAGGTGTCAACCGAAACGGTTGGCAGCCGTTCAGTGACCCTATCCACTACTAGTGCATTTATATCAAAGTTAACATTACGATCTATCCGAGAATAAAATTTTAAATTTATATATCCCTGGGTAGCTTTACTAGTACCTCCGATGCCTTTGACTACAGGACATGAAAGTGACCTATTTATTACTAAGCCTAAGCGCTGACAACATTGTCGCGTTATAAAGCTATTTTGGGCTCCGCTGTCCAGCAGTGCACGGACGCTTTGTTCGTTTCCACGCAAATCCCTAACCAAAATACGCGCCGTACCCAGTAACACGGTTGAAGGAGGTTGTGCTCCCATATTCGCCAATGAGCACAGAGCGACATCACCAGGCCGACCGCTAGAATCGTTGACTTTAGTAGGGGTGAATTCCTTGTGCGCTTTACTTGACGCCGCTATGTTGCTATTTTCAAAATGTAATAGCGTGTGATGTTTCCTGGCGCACTTGCTACATACGGAACTCGAATTGCATTTTGCAACTAAATTCTTATCACTTAAGCAGTTCAGACATAGGTTGTTTGTCTTTACTAAATTATAGCGTTCGCTTGGTGAATATTTACGAAAAGTCGCACAATTGTATAAATTACCGTGTTTATCTTTACATACGACACAAGCATGCTGAAGTGATGCTGACGTAGCGGTTACGTAAGTTAACGACCCTGCTATTTTAGATGGTTGAGTCTGTCTACGGTCGACGCACCTTTTAATCTCCTGTTTAACGTTCGGAGAGCGCTGCATCACCTTTATTTGAACTCGCACGAACGATGCTAATGAATGAAAGGAAGGCATCTCCGAGCTACGATGCTCCATTTCAAACGCACGCACGGTGTCGGGGTCTAATTTCTTTAGTGCAATATGGAGAAACACCACGTCCATAAGGTCATTAAATTTCAAATTCTTAAGTGCAGCCACCGATGCCACAAATTTATCTAAAAACTGCTCTAAGCCGTTGATGTTCGCGGATGATATAGGTTTAAGATCGAATATCTGGTTCAAATATTCGGAAGCTAACATTCTCCTATCTTCATATTTAGTTTTAAGCGTTTCGAATATTAACAAGTAATTGTTTTCTGTAGGTGTAAAACCCGAGTAAATTGACTTGTGCTCTGCCACTAAGTTTACTAATTAAATAATATAATTTTTCAGCGTCCGATAACGATGGGTTCTTGTGTATATTGTTTTGAAAACTACTGAAGAAGAAGGGCCATGTCTTAATATCACCATTGAATACCGGAATATCTATTGGCGGCAACATAATTGAGTCACGTGAACGTACCTGCATTTCCAGCTTTGCTTCGTTTTGAGATTGTAAGAGTTTCTCCGTTCTTTTCACGCGACACAACATATCTTCAAATGCTAGAAGCGGTTGGTAGTTCACTATGTATTTCGGGTCGATTTGTAATTCCAAATGATTAATTTGGTCTAATATTCTTTCGTAATCCGTCCGCAAAGAATCTACCGTTTCAATTTCATTCAAAAAAGTTTCCCGCACTGCTTCTACATTGATGTTCTTTATGTGATCACTAATACTTTGTATACGTGAAAAAAGTATGTCCCTCTTGGCATAAAGCGTTTTAATTTTAATTTCATTTCCACTAACCGCCATTTTAAATTATTATAATATAGTTATATTAATCACAATTAATCTCACAACGCACAAATAATGGAGAATGGACACTAGTATTCCGTATTACGTAATTAAATCGAACACCTGTTACAGCGAGTCGAGGTGACGCGTGTCGCTCGCTAAACTAAATATATTTTTATCAAAATTGTCGGGTACGCGTACAAAACGATTGCTATTACACTGTTTCAATTATTTAAGCGACTAATAAGCTTTAAATTTAAACCAATTACAAACACTATTTTAATGAATAATTCTGTTTGCGAGTACCTAACCAAATTTTAAATTTAAACGAACACTATTTAAGACTATTCTACAAACTAGAGTGCATTATCTAAATAATTAATTTAATAATTCGACCAGAAAATGGTTGAACGACTACTAAACACCAGTCCAAATCCTGCCGAAGTGACCATAAAATGTTGGAGCGAAGTGTCTAAGGTTGCCGAAGTCTAATTCCCCGGTTGAACCTTAAAACCTATTACGTGAGCTATTAATCTAAGTGGACTGTATCTACTAAATGTTTCTACACTTATATAAACGGCAACTATAGCATGCAGTACAATGCACTCGCTCTTCCCTAAAACGAACTATTATTTGCCAAATCGATGAAAGGAATCCTGTTTGATTAGGAGAAAACAAAATTGGAGCGGGTTAAAACACAATTATATCAAGCAGGCAATACAGGCAATATTATTAGGAATATTCACTCACCGGGGTGTCTCTTCTATACTGTTGGGCACTATAGCTGCGACTTCTGGAACTTCTTCTGGACAGACACTCTGGGGCCCCAGAGATACGTCGGGTGAGAAGCGGTGTGGTTTCATGCCGAATCATCTTCTTTCCCCTCCCACCCCACCACCCCGATGTGTCGATAGGAGGGTATGAATGATATCGTTTTGGAAAGGGATAACCGATTTGGCAGCCTACCGTCAAATTAAATAAATCCGATTGGTTTTCCGCGCAACCAATTAAAATATATTATTTACATAAAACATTATTTTTCGGAATATCAGGAATAAAATATAAGTATATTTTAATTAATATATTTGGTTAAAATATACGACAGTTGTCACCTGTCACTTTTTTTTCTTTTTTATTCATCATTTTTTTGGTCCCACTATTAGCTAGGAAAATATTCCGTCACCCCCGCCAGAGCCCTGCATGCCGAGGGAAGGGCTTTTTTTTGCAACTGGACTCCCTCCAGCCACGCATCCATCGGCATGGTACTCTGGACACCTTGGATTGGGTTGAGTGGGAAAAATGGGGTGGGATAAGAGATAAGAAGAAGAGGATCGTCTGAGTGTTTCTGTTCTGTCTGTTTCCCATTGAACCAGATCAAATAACAGGCGGACTTCAGACTTCCCCTGGGGATCAACATGACCTGCGGTCTACCCCAGAGCCATTCGCCAGACTGCTCGCCGGATAGGAGAGCAGAATAGGTGTTAATCTAGTCCTACTGATAATATCAAAAAGTAAGGAGTTGACTAAACCCCGCCCTACTCGTAATTTGGCCCATTTTCAATATATCGCCAATTTATTCGATAAGCTTTTGCCTAGGACGTACCTTTCTGACTCTTACATTCACTTCTGCAACATAAACTTGTTTTGTCACTCTTTCCTCGTTCATTGTTTCTACATGACCAAACCCCCGAAGCATTCCTTTCTTAATCCTGGTCACAGCATCATCTTGCAAACCACACGCTTCTTTTATCACACATTTTCTCACCCTGTCACTCAGATTCAGCCCTAAAATACTCCTTAGTGACCGCATTTCTACTGCAGTTATTTTACTCTCGTGCTTCTTCTGCCACACCCAATTTTCTCTACCACACGTTAAAGTAGGGACTAACACAGCATTGTGAATTGCCATAAGGGCCTTTTTTGACACATTCTGACTTTTCACAATAGAGTGTAGAGCCCTATTTACTTTATTTCCTACGTTCACTCGTCGTTCTATATCCTTATCATATCTCCCATCTCTGCTGAATACACATCCAAAATATACAAACTCATCCACTTGCTCGATCAAGTCCCCTTCTATTCTTTTTTCACATATCGTTTTACTTTCTTCTGTTTCAAAAACCATAACTTTTGTCTTACTTGCGTTCACTTTAATACCTCTTTCTTTTTATGACCTGTTCATTAATGTCACTATCATTTGTAACTCGGTTGTACTTTTCCAGTTCGAGGCTCTACGGACCGCCTCAGCTACGTCATCCGGCGTTATGATGACGGGGTCCATGGGCGTAATACTCGCACACTGACTCGCCACAACTTCCGTCCAAGGGCCCTCGCTGTGGTTTACGGACTCTGACCACAGGTCACGCCAAAATGCGACAATGTTAGCCTGATCCGGTCCTGGGCTCGCTCCACATACCTCTGGTCGCTCCAATGATTTGTAGAGCCTCTTCTGATCACTCTGGAAGAGACGATTCTGGTTGAACCGCCTTGACCTCTCGGTAAATCGGCGAATCCGCTTCCCCCAAGCAGCAATCTTTTGCTTCAGGTCGTCTATGCGCTCCGTTAGTTTCTGCGTGATATTCGGCTGGGACAAACTGATAGTTGTCCCACCAAACGCCTTTCTAACGGTGCGCACAACCCTCGGTCTATTATTACCCGACCTGAAGCTTATCAGTCTGCCGATAAGGGCCCTTGCCTTTGCGATACGGTCCTCAATTCTTTTTCTCCAGGCTGGGATGGCGCTACTTTGTTTAGTAGCGCGTCCAGCCATGGGAAGTTTGGCGCCAATAATACGGCAAGCTGCCACTGCAGCGCCAAAAAGAACTGAGTCCGTCTCGCAAAGGTGAGGCTGGCTTCCAAATAGGGTACCGGCATTGGGTTAAGAGCCCTCACGACAGCCCGATTTCGCTTGCTTAGGGGTATGCGGGGAAGTTGCGGTCGATTTTCGAGAGGCATGCTGCGCGTTTCCAAAATCGCCTCTTCCAATATACTCCTCATTTGCTCTAGTTCGTGGGAGACCATTTCATTATTCGTCTGAATCAACCACAACTGGATGATCCACGGCGGCTTCTACGCGTGGCAGCTGATCTGTCGCCTGAGGAGCCGCATCCCCAATAGTAGCCAATTCATTCGATGAGGGAATGGCCTCACTTCGTAGTCGTTCGAGCTCGGCATCATGAAATATTTTCGAGCCCATGATGTACCAAACTCGGTCTGCCAGGTTTTGTTCCGTGACGGGAATAGACGGCTCCAGCTCAGCAAAAAGCAATGCATCCGAGCCCGATACGCTATCCTCGCAGTTTCTTCCCCTTTCGCCCTATAGTACGCCCGCAATGCGTTTGCGTTCATATCCCTTGTCCAACGCATGCGGCGCACTCCACCAGCGGCGGATGCCGCTTGCCGAGTCCGAGAGGACCCTGCCGACATCAAGTCGTCTGGTGGGTATTATTATTATTATTATAGGGGTATCTGTATAGTTTTCTCATCTGTTCTATAATATATTATAAATTAAAATGAAAAGATAAATATACATAAATATCAATAAAATAAAATAAATACAAAATATAAAAAATCCAGAAGCCCAAAGTCACCTCGTGAGCCAGATCCAGATATTTTGTTCGCTTATCTGTTTCAGCTTTCACGAGGTTCTCGTCATACGGAATGGTAATGTCGACCAAAAATATCCTTGACTGTGCATCAGCACAATATCAGGCTTATTCGCAAGAATAGTCCTGTCTGTGATGATGGCCCGGTCCGGTCATTTTCGAGCACGGCTTCCGCAAGTACTTGTAATACGGCACTTTCCGGTCCACGAGACCGTATTTCAGAGCGAGCTCCTGTTTAGAATTCTGGCTACTAGGATTGTGCCTGTGCAAGTACTCAAAGTTAGAAAGCGCCGAACAACCGGAGATGACATGCCTAAGTGACTCCCCGGGATGGCGACAAGCTCGACAGACGTCGACGGTGCCATCCTTTAGGATGTATCTCCGATAGTTGTTGGTCTTAATAACCTGATCCTGTATTGCACAGACAAAACCCTCTGTTTCCCCGAAGAGGTCACCGAAACGTAGCCAGTTGAGGGAGGCGACTGTATCTATGAAGGGCTCATGTAGAGCCTTGTAGTACCTCCCGTGGAGTTCCTTCTCCTTCCATACGGTCTCCCGGTCGGAAATGCTAAGCACTCCTGGGTCCTGCCATTGCTCATTGGCTAAGGATAGAGGGGTAAGCCCTTTATCACTAGAAATGACGTCATTATAGAATGGATCATCCGATCTCGCCAAGAAGTATTGACGGAGACTGCACACTTCGCGATTATGCATGGTGAGCGCGCTCAGAAAGCCACGCCCACCATGCTTTCGCGGCAAGTACAGCCTCATTACCGACGATCTCGGATGATGCATCCTATGGGACGTCATGGTAGTGCGGACTTTTCTATCCAGGGCGTTAAGATCAGTCTGATTCCACCTGAGTATGCCAAAGGTATACATGAGGACAGGCATGACCCAGCAGTTATATGCGTGTGACTTATTCACACCGGACAAAAGGCTGTTAAGCACTTTGGTCAAGCGTGCATAAAACACGTCGCAAACTGACTGTTTCATACCAGCCTCATCGATACCGATGTTCTGTGACATACCCAGGTATCGGTATGTTTCAGCCTCGGAAAGGGTCCTTAAATTGACGGGCATAGACAAGTCTATGCCCTCAGAGTTAGCAACCCTTTCCCTTTCAACATGGAGGACCGCATACTCATCCGTCCCCAGCTCCATTGCAATGGAATTGCTAAATTCACAAGTGATGTTTAGCAGTTCCATAATATGGGAGCGACTGGAGTCGAATAACTTGAGGTCATCCATATAGAAAAGGTGGGTCACTTTTGTCCCTCCTTTCCGTAGCTGAAATCCCCTCCCGGAGCCCTCCAGTAAGATACTGAGAGGGTTCAGAGAGAGGCAGAACCAGATTGGACTCAAACAATCGCCCTGGAAGATACCCCTTCTTATCCTTATGTGGTTCTCCGCAGCCATCATCCGCTCGCCCAGATGACAAAGGATCGTACTCCACTGCCCCATACACTGCTCGAAGAAGTCTCTAACTGTACAGCCAATCTTGTACAGCTCGAGGACCCTCTTTAGCCATGTATAGGGCACAGAGTCGAACGCCTTTCTGTAGTCTATCCAGGCGGCAGAGAAGTTCCGACGGTTGCGTTTCACCACTTTGCCTATGACTGCGTCAATGAGGAGTGGTTCCTTGGTTCCACGACCACCGCCCCGACATCCATTTTGAGCGCGTGACATCACCTGGTTTAGCTCCAGGTGACGAGTGATTCTCGCGCTCAAAATGGATGTCAGTGTCTTATATATGGTGGGTAGACACGTGATGGGGCGGTATTTGCTCGGGTCTGTGGTATCCTAATCTTTAGGAACCAAGTGAGTGATCCCAGTAGTGAAGAGGCTCGGGAGCGACTTCTGGTCGAGAGCCTCTTGAAACTGTACTTATTACTATTGTTATAGTTTATGTATGGTACCGTGGTTTATTACTGATACACTGAAAGACTTTGTGTCCATGGTCATGTAGTAAAATAAAAAAAATCTATGACATCATGACATCATTTACTTACATTTGACGTTACTATCTGTCAGTTTGTCACTAGATTTTCGATTGGTCGTCATTCTCTAAATGGTACGACAAATTTCATCCTTTTTGTCGTGAACTAGAATATTCGCAATATCATAATTTGTAATTATTCGAATTGTAAATCTAAATTCCAGTAAATGCGCAAATCTTTTGCAAATTAACCACAAATTGCAATGTAAAACTTGTCTATATAGAACTGACACAGTTCACACTGACAATTATCGAAAATAAAACATTGGCCCACTGATTTGTGATGGAATCATACTTCAACTACACTGCAAGCGGAAAAGAATCTGCGGTAGAAGGATATAAATGATTTAGGGGACTACTTAGTTTCTCTTACAAGTAAAAAACAACAAAGGCAAATTAGAAGGAAAATTAACAAGTTTTTAAAGGCGCATGACGGTGTCATGAGCACAAACAACAAGAGGCGCGGAGCTAGCGGTGCCAGTTGTTTTGTACCTGGAGTGCCCTCCCTGGTAAACGTACCAACAGCCATGTCCGCTGACCTTGCCTCTTTATTTGAGTGCCCCGTTTGCTTCGACTATGTCCTTCCTCCGATTCTGCAGTGCCAGAGTGGGCACCTGGTGTGCTCGAGCTGTCGACCTAAGCTATCGTGCTGTCCCACCTGCCGTGGGCCTCTTGGCAATATACGCAACTTGGCAATGGAAAAAGTTGCCAGCAATGTCATGTTTCCATGTAAACACTCCAACACTGGCTGCACTGTCACACTTGTGCATACTGAGAAGGCAGAACACGAAGAAGCATGCGAATTTAGACCTTACTCTTGCCCTTGTCCTGGCGCATCATGCAAATGGCAGGGAGGCTTAGATCAAGTGATGCAACATTTAATGACCTCACATAAAAGCATCACCACACTTCAAGGTGAAGACATAGTGTTCCTTGCAACAGATATAAATCTACCAGGTGCAGTGGACTGGGTTATGATGCAGTCATGTTTCAACCACCATTTTATGCTAGTGCTTGAGAAGCAAGAGAAGTTTGATGGACATCAACAGTTTTTTGCAATCGTACAGTTAATAGGTTCCCGTAAAGAAGCTGAAAATTTTGCATATAGATTAGAGTTGAATGGTCATCGTAGACGGCTCACTTGGGAGGCAATGCCACGTTCCATTCATGAAGGAGTATCCTCCGCCATCATGAATTCAGATTGCCTTGTATTTGATACCTCTTTAGCACAGTTGTTTGCTGACAATGGGAACCTTGGAATAAATGTCACAATCTCTATTGCCTAATCTACATTGCCATGTAACTTAAGTCCGTTTAATTCTGTCATACCAAAAGGGAGTTATTTTATTGAATAATCTTGAGAATAATATGAATATATATACTTTTTGTGGAAATAAAGGTACATCATAATGGATTTTAAGCAAAATTTTAACATAAATAATATTTTTATCGCATTCATTGTGACTTTGACATGTTTTGTAATTAATGTAATAATCAACATCAAAGTAAGCCAAAAATATCTTCTTTTATTTTTTACACAACTATGATTCTTTGTAAATGTGTGTTCATCTTTTAGGGTTAAGTAGAAAAAAAATACAAGTGATAGCTTCATTATGCCAAGCCTTGTGAACTTAATATTGAAGAACTATGACCTCTCGCAAGAGTAAGTGATTGCTATATTCCAAACTAAAAATAAAATAGAACAAATAATAATATGTATTAAAATTTAAACATTTGTATATATGCATGAGATGTTATGTTAGGGTATATATAAGGCATCTAATGCTGCTTGAAAGGACATAGAGAGCAGGTACCTCCCTGAGTATTTGTAATATCAATAGCTGATTGATATTCAATTTAGCAGCAGTACAATAATTAGCTCTAAATGCAACTGACTAATATTGAATGTTAAATGTAAAGAATTGTGAAGAAAATGCTATAAATCAAAGTCATATAAATGTGTTTGAGCTAAAATAGTTTGAAGATAAAGACAACTAATGTACAATTGAGTAAGCCATTTTGTTTTTACATGCCTCAACTTACCATTTTAATTATCACTTGTTTTGTGATTCCAGTTGTTAATTAAGGGTCTTTGCACAAATGGACACACATTTTGATGTTGAGGAGTTACAAGTAACATAAATACAATATTTTTAATGCATTTTACTTGTAGCAACAAAATGGCAACTGATGAAGATACATATTGATAAAATAGTTTATTTTGTAAATTAAGTTTTGTACATGTGTCCCAGTGCACAGGCCTCATCTGGGTTATGGAGCACTTTATTTGTGTTGAGATCCTTTTGTATTGGTTTTATTTATGCAAGAAATCTATGTTACTTAATATGTAGATTATAATTGCCTAGTTATTACATCACCTAAACATTTCAGAGTAAACCATTGAGGGAATTTATTATTGAAAATTTTGTATATCTTAAGATAAGCTAATTTAGGACATTTTGGTTATAATAAATTTTTTGTAATGTACTTAGCTTGTGTTTCAGTTACATTCTAAAATACCATGTAGTGGCGGTGTAAGAATATCCATTACCCTATATCGTCCTGTAGGTATTGTAAGAGGCGACAGAGGGAAACTAATCAAGAGATGGGCAGCGGCATCTTTCTAATAACAACTAAAATTGAAACACTGCAGGTGTCAACCCACTTTCCAATAAGGCAATCTATGGGGAGGCCTATATTCAGTAGTGGACTGCAATAAGATCTAATATTATACATTCTTCATAAGCTACACAGTATGCGAGCAAACCATGTTCGATCCCCGCTGGCACCAATGAAATTGTTAATTACAATTTTAAGTGCTGATTTTCCACATGCTCGGCGATGAAGGAAAACATCGTGAGGAAACCTGCATGTCAGAGGAATATATTTCGATGACATGTGAAGTTCGCCAACAGGCATTGGGGCAGCACGGCAGACAATTCCTTACCCTAAAACCCTGTCCGAAATGAGCGTGGAGGCCTGTGCCCAGCAGTGGGACATATATAGGTTGTAACTTTACTCCATAAGCTAAGCATTTCCTTTCATATAAAAACAGATGTTTTTGTTTCTAATTAACTAATATACATCAATGCACCCAAAAAAAAATTTACAGTTCATTCAAATTTCATTATATTCCTGGATCTGATTAGATTGACAAATATAATAAGTAATAACTGACTTCAAAAATAAAAATTTCATATAATTGCTTATGAAGTAGGCACTAAGACAAAAGTACCAGCTTCAAAAGCTATTATGTGAAAACTATTTTATTCTTTTTAGTTTTTGCAGTCTGGCTTTTACTTTTTAATAAGTTTATTGCCCTTTTTTAGTGGATGCGGGAACTATTTTATAGATTTAGGGTGACAACAAGCACATGGTCATTATGGTAAGTGGATGCTGTGGCCGATAGACATCGGGATGTCTAGGGCAATATAGATATGGGATAGAGAGGCAGGGAATATGTGGTGTTGTCATCCCTGAGGCTGAAATGGAATGCCTCACTTTCAGTAAAAAGGGTCTCTGGTTCTCTACACTCGCCATACGCAACACAGAAGCATTATGCTGCTATTTCACTCTGGTATTCTGTGAGAGCATAGTCTTACCCTGGTGGAGCTGACCCATTTGTGCTATATAGCTGCGGCGTGGCTCTGCCACATATAAAGGAATATCACAAGTTCATATAACAACTAGAATGTAGTCTTAGTTACATTAAAAACTATTCTCGATTTTGGAAGGGGGAGGGGGGAGATATTGTCCTCATATGCCTGAATCGTCCTTTAGAGGAGCCCCTGTCTTGACTGAATTCTAGCGTTATATGGGACTCCTGAAGTATGATAAAAAAATCTTTTAAATCGGGTCTTCCATTTTAGTGTAATCAGTGAACATACATAAAAATCATACCCATCAGATGCAGAACCTTACAGTTATTTAAACTTTGTTAAAAATATTTTTATAACATAATAAGTACTTAGCTGGTGGAATTAAAGAAAGCCTTATTTGATACGCATCATTATTTGATATACACGAATTCTCTTTATTTGGTATAAGTTGATTTTGCTTGAATGGAAAATAAAATCACTTCCTTTGATTTCATTACTTTAATAGCATTATATTACATTCACATAGTGTCATACACATTTTTTACAATTATAATATATTACTTAGCTCCAAGCCCTTTCCTTAAATATTAAACATTTACTTAATATTATGCCCTTAAACTGTGCCAACCTTATATAAGTATTAAATGAGGCGTAGGGCGATCCCTGCTAGGTGGAGAAGACTTATGTAAGCCATGCAGGAAGTTGTTAAACGCGGGTAGCTAAGGACCGTGATTTTTTGCATTTCTTGGAGGAAGACTGTGCTCAGCAGTGAACTTATGAGGAGCTATAATGATGGTAAACCCACAAATGGAGTAGCATTATTTTAATATCCTCCTATGGTCTCTTTTAAGTAATTGATAAATTAATTAGCACTTGATATACCAGATGCTGTGCAACATAAATGATGTCTGCATGTCACTTTGCAACCAACCACCAAAACATACCAATGAAGTTGAGTAATTCTCTTATATACAAATGATAATATATTTACATAAACATAATATTGAATGGTATGGTGGGTCTTTGCGAGAGATCATATTGATTGAAGGGATTGACATGCCAAATATGTGCTATCGGTTAAATTTAATTTTTCACCCTGAATACTACAAATGTTTACACTCATGATCGTCTTCGGATTGGCATGTCATGTAACTGCTCAGTTCGTTCCAAAGCAAGTCATTAATGTACTGAAACACCCCGACGGTGCTAACATTGAAGCAAGTGAATGTGATGAATTTAATTACAATCAATCTCAACACAATAAAAAATTCGTCTTGATACTGAATACGTGAATGTATAAAGATTGTCTCCAATTGTCACTGACTTTTTCGGAAATATTTAAAAAAACTAAATTTTGTTTTTGCTGCTCAGTAAAAGTACCAGAAAAAATAAATCTGCCTGTGACATTGTCTATAAAATTTTTGAGAAACAACAGGTTATTCCACAACAGCTCAGAGATCTCCACATTGTTATATACAGGCAGTCCTGAAATGTGATAAAATGATAGATAACAATGCGTAAAGGTCCATAATGCAGTGTAATCATTCAAGTAAAGCCTGTCATGCCGTATTACTCTTGGTACAATGTTATAACTGTCACTGAATTTTCACGAAACAGCATTGCACAAAAAATTTATTTATTTGAGATTTTAAAGAATAAAGTATGTAAATCACAACGGCAATGCCACATCGAAAGTTAATAGCATCAAATGTGATTAGGCTCATATGATTTCAAACAAATTCAGTTAATAGCTAAGCTGGTTTACTGGTCTGTGGCTGCAAAGGTGATGGTAGAAGGCAAGCAGACGTTGGTGATTCGTTATCATCTAATATGGAGGCTGTCTCCTTACGTGTAGGACTGAAAGGGTTTCTGCTTGTCTCACCAGTTAACACTGGGCTGAATGGATCTTGCCCCCTATGTACAATTTCAAACGCTTCTGAAACTTCATTTTTTGAATCAACCAAAGAAAACTCATCAAGTGTCTCTAATACGGCACAGTAGTCACTTCGAGGAGGTAATGGTGCGAAAGGGTCGAAAGTGTCCTTCTTTATGCCTTCTGGGCTGAAAGGGTCCTTTGGTTCACATTTTGGAGCGTCCTCAGCCAGACTGTTATCTCCACTGAAGTCTGAAAGATCAATGTCATAATTAATATTACTTAAGCCAGGTGCTATGTTTTCTGCCCCAAAATCGTCTGGTGTATTCAGCTCATCGATAGACCTTGAGTCGAAAGGAGTAAAACCCAAAGGGGATGGTGTTAGTAGTTCCATTGAGTTTGTCTGCTTCAAATCCCATTTCTCGTAAAGATTGTGTGGGGATTTGGATGGTGAAGGTTTATCTGCGACGTGGAAATCTAAGATATCATGCTGGTCTGTGCTTTGGACTTCTGTTGTATTTAACACTGGTACCTCTTGCTCGTTTTCTGCTTGGCTCATTTGGTTTGTAGGTATTAGTGGTGGATGAGGAGTTGGTACTTCTTGAGGCACAGTGTCTTCTGCTGGTGTCTCTAAGTCTATTAGGGGTACAGTGTTGATGTTTTTGAATTTCCCAAGCTGGGGTAGCTCGCGCCTTGGTTTGATTTCTAATGGTGTCTTAGCAAGCACATCTTTGACTTTCTTGGCTATTTGTTCCTGTAAATAAAACGTATAGAACATTATTTTGATTTCTAAGAAGAAAAAAGCTTCTGAACCATTTTGGCGGGGAGAAATCCTTATTAATATACTCGGCCGGAAACAAGCTAATATATCAGACTATAGTAACTCACAATGGCTAGAGTTCAAACCTTACTTAATGAAGTATCAGATATAGTCTTTTTAAAGAACATGCCAACTCACATATGGATCTCAACGATTGGACGATTGGATCTCTGGTCGAAAAAATACTTAGTTCGATAAATATTAAATAATTATATAGGCCAAATAATCAAACTAAGGAAAGGCTACTTCAAATTAAATGCATATGCTGTCATAAGGGCGTCAGTGCACAAGTGGTAGATAAGCACTAAAACTGAAGTTTTATAATTTGGAACTTGAATTAAGGTAACTTATTTACTACGAGTCTGCTATATAAATATGGTAATAGAAATGGTAAGAAGATACTTTTGAGGCACTCGTGTTGGGCGCGCACGTGTATAATAAAACCCTTGTAAAGAGCTTAAAACTAGAGCACTACTCTATTAAGGATAAAGTTTAAAAATACGAAGGGAGGAAATAACTCCAAATTTCAACTCCGAGCAATATTAATATAGGTACGCGCGTTGTGATCGAGGGTGTGAATGAGGGTTTGGTACCTCGAAGGTGCAAGAGTTGTGTGCGAATTTATGATGCTTGGTACCTCAAAGATGCAAGAGTTGTGTGCGAGTGTATGATGCTTGGTACCTCAAAGATGCAAGAGTTGTGTGCGAGTGTATGATGCTTGATACCTCAAAGATACAAGAGTTGTGTGCGAGTGTATGATGCTTGGTACCTCAAAAGATGCAAGAATTGTGTGCGAGTGTATGATGCCGTGCCTCGGTTGCAGGAGTTGTTGTGCGAGTGTATGTGCTTGATACCCCTCGAAGGTGCCAAGTTGTCTCGAGAATGTATGATGCTTGCTGCCTCAGTGCAAGTTGTGTGCGAGTGTATGATGCTTGATACCTCAAAGATACAAGAGTTGTGCGCGAGTGTATGATGCTTGGTACCTCAAAGATGCAAGAATTGTGTGCGAGTGTATGATGCTTGGTACCTCAAAGATGCAAGAGTTGTGTGCGAGTGTATGATGCTTGATACCTCAAAGATACAAGAGTTGTGTGCGAATGTATGATGCTTGGTACCTCAAAGATGCAAGAGTTGTGTGCGAGTGTATGATGCTTGGTACCTCAAAGATACAAGAGTTGTGTGCGAGTGTATGATGCTTGGTACCTCAAAGATGCAAGAGTTGTGTGCGAGTGTATGATGCTTGATACCTCAAAGATACAAGAGTTGTGTGCGAGTGTATGATGCTTGGTACCTCGAAGGTGCAAGAGTTGTGTGCGAGTGTATGATGCTTGATACCTCAAAGATGCAAGAGTTGTGTGCGAGTGTATGATGCTTGATACCTCAAAGATACAAGAGTTGTGTGCGAGTGTATGATGCTTGGTACCTCGAAGGTGCAAGAGTTGTGTGCGAGTGTATGATGCTTGGTACCTCGAAGGTGCAAGAGTTGTGTGCGAGTGTATGATGCTTGGTACCTCGAAGGTGCAAGAGTTGTGTGCGAGTGTATGATACTTGGTACCTCGAAGGTGCAAGAGTTGTGTGCGAGTGTATGATGCTTGGTACCTCGAAGGTGCAAGAGTTGTGTGCGAGTGTATGATGCTTGGTACCTCGAAGGTGCAAGAGTTGTGTGCGAGTGTATGATGCTTGATACCTCGAAGGTGCAAGAGTTGTGTGCGAGTGTATGATGCTTGATACTTCAAAGATGAAAGAGTTGTGTGCGAGTGTATGATGCTTGATACCTCAAAGATACAAGAGTTTTGTGCGAGTGTATGATGCTTGATACCTCAAAGATACAAGAGTTGTGTGCGAGTGTATGATGCTTGGTACCTCGAAGGTGCAAGAGTTGTGTGCGAGTGTATGATGCTTGGTACCTCGAAGGTGCAAGAGTTGTGTGCGAGTGTATGATGCTTGGTACCTCGAAGGTGCAAGAGTTGTGTGCGAGTGTATGATGCTTGATACCTCAAAGATGCAAGAGTTGTGTGCGAGTGTATGATGCTTGATACCTCAAAGATACAAGAGTTGTGTGCGAGTGTATGATGCTTGATACCTCAAAGATACAAGTGTTGTGTGCGAGTGTATGATACTTGATACCTCGAAGGTGCAAGAGTTGTGTGCGAGTGTATGATGCTTGGTACCTCGAAGGTGCAAGAGTTGTGTGCGAGTGTATGATCCTTGATACCTCGAAGGTGCAAGAGTTGTGTGCGAGTGTATGATGCTTGATACCTCGAAGGTGCAAGAGTTGTGTGCGAGTGTATGATGCTTGATACCTCAAAGATGCAAGAGTTGTGTGCGAGTGTATGATGCTTGATACCTCAAAGATACAAGATTTGTGTGCGAGTGTATGATGCTTGGTACCTCGAAGGTGCAAGAGTTGTGTGCGAGTGTATGATGCTTGGTACCTCGAAGGTGCAAGAGTTGTGTGCGAGTGTATGATGCTTGGTACCTCGAAGGTGCAAGAGTTGTGTGAGAGTGTATGATACTTGGTACCTCGAAGGTGCAAGAGTTGTGTGCGAGTGTATGATGCTTGATACCTCGAAGGTGCAAGAGTTGTGTGCGAGTGTATGATGCTTGATACCTCGAAGGTGCAAGAGTTATGTGCGAGTGTATGATGCTTGATACCTCAAAGATACAAGAGTTGTGTGCGAGTGTATGATACTTGGTACCTCGAAGGTGCAAGAGTTGTGTGCGAGTGTATGATGCTTGGTACCTCGAAGGTGCAAGAGTTGTGTGCGAGTGTATGATGCTTGGTACCTCGAAGGTGCAAGAGTTGTGTGCGAGTGTATGATGCTTGATACCTAGGGCAAGAGTTGGTGGTGCTTGATACCTCGAATCAAGAGTGGTATGATGCTTGATACCTCAAAGATGAAAGAGTTGTGTGCGAGTGTATGATGCTTGATACCTCAAAGATACAAGAGTTTTGTGCGAGTGTATGATGCTTGATACCTCAAAGATACAAGAGTTGTGTGCGAGTGTATGATGCTTGGTACCTCGAAGGTGCAAGAGTTGTGTGCGCGTGTATGGTGCTTGGTACCTCGAAGGTGCAAGAGTTGTGTGCGAGTGTATGATGCTTGGTACCTCGAAGGTGCAAGAGTTGTGTGCGAGTGTATGATGCTTGATACCTCAAAGATGCAAGAGTTGTGTGCGAGTGTATGATGCTTGATACCTCAAAGATACAAGAGTTGTGTGCGAAAACAAGAGGTGTATGATGCTTGATACCTCAAAGATACAAGAGTTGTGTGCGAGTGTATGATACTTGGTACCTCGAAGGTGCAAGAGTTGTGTGCGAGTGTATGATGCTTGGTACCTCGAAGGTGCAAGAGTTGTGTGCGAGTGTATGATGCTTGATACCTCGAAGGTGCAAGAGTTGTGTGCGAGTGTATGATGCTTGATACCTCGAAGGTGCAAGAGTTGTGTGCGAGTGTATGATACTTGGTACCTCGAAGGTGCAAGAGTTGTGTGCGAGTGTATGATGCTTGGTACCTCGAAGGTGCAAGAGTTGTGTGCGAGTGTATGATGCTTGATACCTCAAAGATGCAAGAGTTGTGTGCGAGTGTATGATGCTTGATACCTCAAAGATACAAGAGTTGTGTGCGAGTGTATGATGCTTGATACCTCAAAGATACAAGAGTTGTGTGCGAGTGTATGATACTTGGTACCTCGAAGGTGCAAGAGTTGTGTGCGAGTGTATGATGCTTGGTACCTCGAAGGTGCAAGAGTTGTGTGCGAGTGTATGATGCTTGGTACCTCGAAGGTGCAAGAGTTGTGTGCGAGTGTATGATGCTTGGTACCTCGAAGGTGCAAGAGTTGTGTGCGAGTGTATGATGCTTGATACCTCGAAGGTGCAAGAGTTGTGTGCGAGTGTATGATGCTTGATACCTCGAAGGTGCAAGAGTTGTGTGCGAGTGTATGATGCTTGGTACCTCGAAGGTGCAAGAGTTGTGTGCGAGTGTATGATGCTTGATACCTCGAAGGTGCAAGAGTTGTGTGCGAGTGTATGATGCTTGGTACCTCGAAGGTGCAAGAGTTGTGTGCCAGTGTATGATGCTTGGTACCTCGAAGGTGCAAGAGTTGTGTGCGAGTGTATGATGCTTGGTACCTCGAAGGTGCAAGAGTTGTGTGCGAGTGTATGATGCTTGGTACCTCGAAGGTGCAAGAGTTGTGTGCGAGTGTATGATGCTTGGTACCTCGAAGGTGCAAGAGTTGTGTGCGAGTGTATGATGCTTGATACCTCGAAGGTGCAAGAGTTGTGTGCGAGTGTATGATGCTTGATACCTCGAAGGTGCAAGAGTTGTGTGCGAGTGTATGATGCTTGGTACCTCGAAGGTGCAAAAGTTGTGTGCGAGTGTATGATACTTGGTATCTCGAAGGTGCAAGAGTGGTGTGCGAGTGTATGATGCTTGGTACCTCGAAGGTGCAAGAGTTGTGTGCTAGTGTATGATGCTTGGTACCTCCAAGGTGCAAGAGTTGTGTGCGAGTGTATGATGCTTGATACCTCGAAGGTGCAAGAGTTGTGTGCGAGTGTATGATGCTTGATACCTCGAAGGTGCAAGAGTTGTGTGCGAGTGTATGATGCTTGGTACCTCGAAGGTGCAAAAGTTGTGTGCGAGTGTATAATACTTGGTACCTCGAAGATGCAAGAGTTGTGTGCGAGTGTATGATGCTTGGTACCTCGAAGGTGCAAAAGTTGTGTGCGAGTGTATAATACTTGGTACCTCGAAGGTGCAAGAGTTGTGTGCGAGTGTATGATACTTGGTACCTCGAAGGTGCAAGAGTTGTGTGCGAGTGTATGATGCTTGGTACCTCGAAGGTGCAAGAGTTGTGTGCGAGTGTATGATACTTGGTATCTCGAAGGTGCAAGAGTTGTGTGCGAGTGTATGATGCTTGATACCTCGAATGTGCAAGAGTTGTGTGCGAGTGTATGATGCTTGGTACCTCGAAGGTGCAAGAGTTGTGTGCGAGTGTATGATGCTTGGTACCTCGAAGGTGCAAGAGTTGTGTGCGAGTGTATGATGCTTGGTACCTCGAAGGTGCAAGAGTTGTGTGCGAGTGTATGATGCTTGGTACCTCGAAGGTGCAAGAGTTGTGTGCGAGTGTATAATACTTGGTACCTCGAAGATGCAAGAGTTGTGTGTGAGTGTATGATGCTTGATACCTCGAAGGTGCGTGCGTTTTCTTCGAGCGCGTCCGCTCCGTCGCACAGGCTGCGTACTTGTGTGCGCATGCGCGCGGTCTCCTCGCGCAACTCCTCCACTTCACGCGCCACGCCACACAGCGACAACGCCGCTGCCTGTATTATATATTGCATTGTGTATTTTATACGTGGTAGAGCCATTTTAGCACAAGACAAACATTTTATGCTTACTAGGATCGGTTAAAAAGAATATTAGTAATTTTAATAGCATTGCTAGTATTTAAAAAAATGTGGATAGGTTTGTTGGCTTTTAATTACACTACACTTCTACAAAAAAGTTTCATTTTTCATTGTAACATGACTTTTTATATTATAAGAGTGACAAACGAGCACACAATCCACCTGATCGTAAATGGTTGCTGTAGCCCATAGACAACCACATCTATCCTAGATTACGAAGCAAAATGCAGATTTTTTGTCTACTGAGGACCAAGAAGGAATGCCTCTTTTCCTGTTACATGGGTCTCCAGTTCTATGCACTCACTATACGAAACACAGCAGCGTTGAGCGGCTATGTTAACGTGGTCTTTCCCCGATCGAGCCAACCCATTCGTGCTACAACTATACTACTAATATAGCTACATTATGGCTCCACCACGTAAAAAAATATTTTTTTTACGTGGTATAGCCATGACTATTATAAATTATAGTAAAATGTATTCCTTGTTAAATATTTAGACATCGATTTCGCAGTAACATAAATTGCAACGAAGAGGAAAGAAATAGAACACGCGTATTGCGTACACGCCTATTGTCGACACGCCTTTTGTGGACTCATCTGTTGCAAATACGTCTGCTGCGGTCATGCCTGTTGCGGACATGCTTATTGCAGATACGCTTGTTGCAAATACGTCTGTTGTGTTACGCCTGTTGCATATGATGGGCAATACATTGTACGCAAGTACCATTGCTATGCATCAATTGCATCGTGTAACATATGCGCAGGAGTTATTTGACAGTTTTTTAATGCTAGGGTATTTAATTTCATTTTTTTAGAATTAATTATTAATGCTAGCACATACTATAGCTCATTATCTAATAGCCTACCTTATAAATACAAAATGCACAAGTTAGTCGCATGATCTTAAATCGCATCAACATATACCGTAGCGGTGGCGAAGCCTCCATAGAAGCCCAGAACCCGGGCTTGCCCAATCAAACTGCTCAGTCAATAATATCAACTAACAAAATAATTCGTAAACTGTATCAAACTATTTAAAATTTCCCGCGCGCTCCTCAGTTCTAGACAGGTCATGACCTCGTAGCATATACCTAACGTCAACACTTGGCAGTTTTCTTTCAATTCGAAATACACTAATTCGTGTTCTCTCAGTCTCAAAGCGAACACGCAATGGACTGTCAAAATTAAGGAGTTGATTATTCGTCTCTCTCGCACGCGTTGGCTTTTTACCGGGCTTTCGAAATCCTCTAACCTGTGGCAAAATGTTCTATAATTAAATATAACTACGAAATGTTTATATAGCAATTACTATGGAACCAAAAGCTGGGCTTTGCTCTGAAGTTGTTTAGGAGTACGCGGGCGTGCTTTCACTTCACATTTCAATGTTTATGTTTGTTTTTGTTGTGTTTGTTGAAAATTTATGCTTTTTAAAAGATTTTTAGTGAAAATGGAAGGATAATAGTGTTCCTTGTGATGAATTGAAGTGTGTTAAAGTGCTAATCGGCGAGGAAAAGGTAAAATCTTTAAAAATGAAATTTTTATTCAATAAACATTTCTTCATACTTTAATAGGCACAGGACTCTTTAGTATTCAAGTTTATTCCTAAAAGAAAAAAAGAAATATAAAAAAAAATTTATAAAAACCACCAAAAAAAATTGAAAAAAAAAAGAAAAAAAACACACCACCCCATTATAATAAACAGTCATTATTTTATGGTAAAAAATTTGTAATTTGTAATGTTTATCTTTTCATTATACCATATCTAATTCCTGTCGTAATCTGTTCTTCTATGCATATATACATAGAAGAACAGATTAAGATACAATCGAAATTATACAAAAAAAAAATAATTTCGATGTTTCACATCTGCCAGACGTCCCTATTTTAATTTTGTACATAGTTTGTTTGTACTTTGTCCATGTATTGTATTGTATGTAAATATTTTTTTCTTTCGCTCAAGAAAACTCAAACGGCTTTTTTCAAAGCCACCGAAGGTGTGCAATTGTTGATATGTGATACAATCTATCTAGCGGTAGTATACCTTCTGTGTGCTTCGTTAAACACGTCCTCGACAGCACTGAATATGAAACTGAAGAGTGGAGGCAGATCAAGCTTGGTGTATTTTTATAAAACTGCTAAAAACAACAAAACTATATCTTGGGATTGCCCAAGTTTGGGGCCCAGCTTCGCCACTGTACCGTAGCACACAAATGTGGTTGCATTAAGTTTTAGTTCATGGAGAAATCAAAAAAGAAGTATGTATTACCCAGGCACTGCCACCAATCGAAGCCGGCATAGCCATGTAGCAGTCGAACTCTTTCTTCTCCATGTTGAGCGACTCGGCTGTCAGGTTCTCGATGAACGACACCGCGCAACACTAAACAAGTAAATGCATTTATAAGAAACACTGATAGCGTGCGAACTTACACAAATTACATGTCATAAAATTATTGCAAATTGAGTCTGAAATCTCTGAATCGAAGTGATTTGTTAAAAACATATTATATGAGACGTAATGAGAATAATTTATGGAGTTTCTCGCGTTGAAATTTAAGTCAGTAAATTTAAGTAAAGTAAATTTAAGTAAATAAGTAGTTTCTGTGTACTTCGCAACGCTCACTGTAACAGAGGCATTAAGGTGTAAAAAGTCCCGATAGCAGTGTTATGATTGTATATAATTTTTTTATAGAATAAGGGCGAAGAATAAGCACACAAGATACAAGGCCTCGTTACCAGAAAAAAGATCTATATTTGTGGCCAATTTGTAGCAGTATCCATCATTTGGGGGGAAAAAGACACACACCCCCCCCAAGGAGGGGATTTTGTTGCCCCCAACCCCCCCCCAAAAAAAAAAAAAAACCCCCGAAAAAAAAGGAAGCCAAAAAAAAGGGCCCCCCCCAAAAAAAAAAAAAAAAAAAAAACCCCTTAGAGAGGGGACCCCCCCCCACAAAAAGATTTTGAGAAATCTGAAATCGTTTACTTAACCTATCAAGTGAGCCATTCACAAGAATTATTTGGTAAAGACCCTACTATTAGTGATTAGAGTAAATAGCCTTAAAAACACATTCAAGGAGAACTTCATTATATTTTCTCACAAAACTGGTCTTAAAGAAACTTCCGCATCATATAAATTGCTAATTTTTTTTACTTCCAATAAAACTATAGATAAGTTAACTCGTTATTTCTTCTCCATACAGAGGAACCTAATTTCGCTACGCCTGCACCTTTTGTGTAAGTTTTAAAAAAAAATTTGAAAATAAAAATGATGTCTTCAAGTTAAAATTCATTTATTCATTCACTCACTCACCAGATTTGTGAAGTAGTAGCCGCTCTCGCCTGTCATGAGACGCTGAGCGTTGCAGAACCGCGTCACGAAGTTAATGTTGCTCACAAGCCGAGGCGGGTTCGCTTTCAAGACCTGCATATAAAAATTTTCATAACATATCTACGTATCGCTGATAAAATTTGTAGTGTATCCAAAACGTCGATATATAATATTAGTGTTAAGGTATAATAAGGAATTCCAATTAAAGACCAGGTGTTATACGTGGTAGGTGTATACAGGGTTATTTATTTTATACAGTATTTAAATTTTATATTAAAGTTCAAATATATAAATAGGTAATACGAGTAAATAAAACTTCCACTTTTATTTGAAATTATCTCAAATTAAACGTGATTTATGGGCAACAACTACGTGTACGCGCGCTCCTGTACGTGTGATTCCATTCGCAAAGTTTTTGCCTACTGTTTATTTTCTTAGTGACGTGCTCACTACTAATGTTTAAGTTAATAACTACACGACGCGAATTATGATTCTAATTTTCCCTTATAATCAAAATTCTTTTAATAATTTATTTTATTATACGGCTTAGGATCGTTATAATAAATAAATTGAAAAAAACATGTGTGCAGTTCACACGCGATGTAAGTGTAACTTTCAAATGTAGGAAACATAAAATATACGTAATATAAATTTCGCAGTAAATGATTTCTTTAATATAATAATTTTCAACTACAAGTGCGGTAATAATATAACATAAATATTTAATTTTATAGGTAATAAGTGTTACAATCAAATGTAGAGCCTAAATTTAGTGTAATAAATCTAAAGAATATTTACTTTCGAATAAAATGGCTTTGAAATAATGTCATCTTAAATTTAATTTTAAAGGTAAAACTTTTTGAACAGACATTCTCATTTCTAGTTACAAATCACGATTTTAAAGAAGTTTTCACTTCAAAAAATAGTTTTGCTAATTAACGATGTAACCGGCTATCATTGTTATGGCGTAGTTAAAATATTGTAATAAGTAAGCCATTTACAACTAAATTACGCAAGTAGTCACAATAACTATTGGTAACTCGAAATGAAATTCGTTTCTCTCTATGAATTACATTTACTACCTGTAATAGATATAAATAGTTTTAACTTCCGTGAATGCAACAATCATTTTGCTTTAGAGGTCTTCATGACTTTGGGCCTCTTTGACGTAAACACGACTCTTTATTTCTCCCACCAGATAAAAGTCTAAAAATGAAAGGTTCGACGAATTTACAGGGTGTATAGGGCCTCCAAGCGCAATCCATCTATCTTCATATTCACTATTTAAATTATCGCTCACTGTACTTGAATATTTTGACTAGCTATCAATTGTTCTTCGATTGGACGACACGTACATTAATATCTTACCAGGGTAAAAAGACTCACTTTCGTATAATCTTTACGCACCACGTAAACTTTCATTGCTTAAGAGGATACCTTGAAAATTAATCGAAGTTTTGGGGGTGTGGCTTATTCCTTTGTCGGTAAAGCTAACGGACGACTGAGGGAGTGTCAAAATGAAAGTGATGCAATGACTTCATAGTACGCAAATTATGAGATAGCCATACCGAGCAAGCGCTCGGAATAAAACTAAGTAAGCGCCAAACAACATTTTTATTTATTTTAACAAAACTTCGTTATGCATTAAAAAACTGGTTTATGAGAACTTAGATATGATTATTTACTATGCCTTAAAAATTATTCCACGAAATTATTCGTAAGAATATTGTAGTGTCATCGAGAAATGTAAATAATTAGCACCTACTTTGCATTTTTTTTTCTATCGAGAAAATTACATGATATCGTGTTTTCCTTTTATGCAATCCAAGATCATATAGTCAAAAATCATATAAGTACCAAAGAATCATGCCCACTTTCCATACATTGATTGACCTGCCACTTGATTCCTTTAACAGGCCGCGACTACCTACAACTACTGTTGTATAGAAACAATAATTGTTTATAATAACATAATAACTTATCACCTTTTCATTTAGAGGCCAGGGAAAAATGCTACTAATTAAATAAATTTTTGAGGCTATCCAGTCTGTACACTTATTTTCTATCCACATCATAGTATAAAACCATTAAAAATCGTATCTAATCATAAATTAATAAGTTATAAAAAAGCAATTAGTTATTTTGAACATTAATAAACCACATGGCGAATGAACAAGTTTTTCGTAGTCTGAAACGGAACGCGTAAAACACGTTTTATTATATTTTGGCATGGCTTCTGGGCCTTTGAGCCATTGTAAAACACGTTCCGTCTCCAAGAATGATAAAAATAATAACATTACTTTTTTTCCTGGCTTTATTGGAAAATTCAATTATATGCGATACGAAATAAGCAAAAAAATATGCAATTTTTTAAGATTTTTTACACAACTAGACGCGTTAGAAAATTTTCAGGTCAAGACTGGACATGATTTTTTTGGTTTGTAATCTATAAAACTTAAAAAAAAATGTTAAATAGAAAAACACCAATTTTTCGAGGTATCACCTTAAAATGTAACACCGTACCATTACATAGTCCCATATTATTCGTGTTTCGAATATTTTCATTCCATTATTGGTAACTTAAAAATTTAATAATAGCGCACTCGTACGTAATGAGGACACGGATTACACTGTCAGTTGTCGGCTGGCTGCGAAGGCCGAAGGAAAGACCGCGGGAAGACGAACAAGGTACCTAAATTTTTAACCGAGCAACCCTCACAAATGTGTGCGTAGTAAAATAGTAGGCGTTAGATATTTTAGTTTCTTTCGTTAGATTTTATGCATAGCAATCATATAGGTTAATGCATTACCACACATTCTAAATTAAAAAGGTAAAAAGCATAGAATGTTTGAATTTCTTTTAAAATTTCTTTTTTCATCCTTCGCCTTATTACTGATTCTGGACCTTCTCTGCAACTTCGGCATACATTTCAAAATAACTCTGTATATATCTGTAAATCAGGTACGTACCGAGAGCAGCGCCGCACATAGTATACAGTACACAGTACACAAGACAGTGCAGCACAGAGTAGTGTGGGGCGGTGTAGCACAGAGTAGTGTGTGCTCACAGTGAATATAAGGCAGGGCAGCAGCTCACCAGCGCAGGTAGGCGCACTGCACAGCGCCAACACGTGCCACCAGCAGCGCCACACATAGTACACAGTGCACAAGGACAGTGCAGCATAGAGTAGTGTGTGCTGACAGTGAAGATGAGGCAGGGCGGCAGCTCGTCAGCAGACGCGTGCGCGCCGAACAGCACCAGCACGTGCCGGCAGCAGCACCGCACTTAGTATACAGTACAGAGTGCACAAAGACAATGCAGCACAGAGTAGTGTGTGCTGACAGTGTAGATGAGGCAGGGCAGCAGCTCGTCAGCGGACGCGGGCGCGCCGCACAGCGCCATCACGTGCCGGCAGCAGCTCGTCAGCGGACGCGGGCGCGCCGCACAGCGCCATCACGTGCCGACAGCAGCACCGCACATAGTATACAGTACACAATACACTAAGACAAGGCAGCACAGAGTAATGTGTGCTCACAGTGAAGATAAGACAGGGCAGCAGCTCGTCGGCGGACGCGGGCACGTCGCACAGCGCCAGCAAGTGCCGGAATCAGCGACGCACATAGTACACACTACACAAAGACAGTGCAGCACAGAGTAGTGTGTGCTCACAGTGAAGATGAGGCAGGGCAGCAGTTCGTCGGCGGACGCGGGCACGCCGCACAGCGCCAGCACGTGCCGGCAGCAACGCCGCACGCGCGCCAACTTGCCGCCTGGCGCCGCACACCCATCCATGCCCAGCAGCTCTGCAGTAGACATAGGCATATAGAGAAATTCCTTACGTTAACTCGGTAACTTAGGTGCAGATTATTGCGCCGGCTCAGGAAAGCGCCGAGTGAGCAAGAGAAAATAATTAAGTACGTAAATTATACTCTTTAAAAAGATGTAAAGCTTCTACAACGTTAAGGGGTATCCCTGACCAAAATGTTGCGAAAGTGCGTTTTTCAGACTCTATTATCTCATTAGTTATGAAAAATAAACTACATCTAAAAGTATATTATTAATGTTCGATATCTTATCATCACATTCCAACATTCTAATTTATTTTTATGTGCTATAAATACATTTAAAATCAACTTTTAAAAAATGACTAAAATTCTTGATTACATGCATCTGTTGCTAAACGCAACGCTCTAATCATTTGAGAATAACACTAATGGATAGATAATTAAAAAATTTATATTATCCACGTTTTATTTAAATTTTTAAGTTCGTTTTTCTCTTTTAATTGAAATAATTCCGAAAATTGTGTGACTTCTATTATAAAGGGGCGTGCGCAGAGTGCGGGCGGTATTACGCTGTGTGCGTTTGTAGGAGGTGGCCGTGTCGCTCGTCGCCGTTCCGTATTTCGCCGCAAACATAATATTATTTGAGTACCTACCAACCGATGCGCTTACGTCACGGTAATATTATTTATACAGTATTGTAACTCGGCCGTATCTTTGAAATAAATCCTACAGCTGTGCGGTACGTAAACATGCGATAGGGCTGCCTGCCTCCAGCATTCTTACATTTGCCCATTGATTTATTTAAATTATTCTTTATTGCACCAAAGATTTTGTACAAAAGGCGACCTTAATGCTATATGGCATTCTCTACCAGCTAACCTTGGGTAGAACAGAGAGTGAGTTATGGGCAGTAAAGATGTCATGATCTCATTCAATTCAAAATGTACATGCTACACATACATATAATATATATATATATATATATATATATATATATATATATATATATACATATATACATACACATATACATATATAAATATATATCTCCATAAATTTATATACAAATAACTATAAACATATAAAGTAAGTGGACTCAAATTTGTTGGTTACGGATATATTCGTATAGTTTTCTTTTAAACACGTTTTTAGCAGGTATTATGCGCAGGTCAACAGGCAATTTATTCCAGAGGGAGATGGAAGTTAATGTGAAAGAATTTGACATAAACCCAGAATGGTGGAGAGGAGTACACAGTAATAAATTGTGTGAAGACCGGAGATTGAGAGAATGAGTGTCACTACGGAATTGGAATCTTTCTTTTAGGTAAAGGGGTGAGGAAGAATCATTAAGAACTGAGAACAGAGAGGACAGCATTCGAAAATCTCTGCGCTGGCGTATAGTCAACCACTTTAATTGGGAGCGAAATTCTGATACGTGATCGTATTTGCGCAGACCAAAGATGAACCGTATGCAGTTGTTAAGTAACCTGTCCAACCTGCTTAGCAGCTCCTGAGAGATATTAGAAAGACAAACATCGGCATAGTCAAATAATGGAAGAATTAGAGATTGGATGAGTAGAAGCTTAGTTGAAGGAGGCAGAAAGAACTTAAGACGATAGATGGAACGAAGTATGCCTGTGACTTTACGACAAATCTCGGACACCTGTAACCTCCAACTAAAGGTCGGGTCAATAATTAAACCCAGATCCTTGACACTAGTGCGGAAAGGAATTACACAGTTTTCATAGCAAATGGATGGTAGATCAGGTATGTTAAGTTGTGACACCAATCGACGACTACCAATGATAATAGCCTGGCATTTACTGGGATTTACCGTTATACCAAATCGCTGTGACCAGTCTGAAATGCGTTGTAAGCCCTGATTAATAGCTGCAATAGCGGTAGCAATTTCAACCGAGGACGCTTGTGAGTATAACTGAAGATCGTCAGCGTATAGGTGGTAAGAACATTGAAGGTGGGTAGTTAGAAGATTGATAAACAACGAAAAAAAGAGAGGAGAGAGAATGCCGCCTTGCGGTATACCTAGATATAGATCGCACCAGTCGAAAAAATCCTGACCAGCCCGAACAGCCTGCTGGCGACCGCGAAGATAAGAGGAAAACCAGTTCAGTACTGACGGGGAGAAGTTTAGGCGTGAAAGTAATCCAAGGAGTAAGTCGTGATCGACACAATTAAATGCGTTTGAAAAGTCAATAAGGACCAGAACAGTCAAACATGACCTCTCCATGCCCTCTCTAAAATCTTCTGTAACTTGAAGTAAAGCTGTGGTGGTACTATGTCCCGGGCGGAAGCCAGATTGATATGTACTAAGGTAGTTGCATTTCGAAATGAAAGAGGTGACTTGTTTGTGTACCAATGATTCAAGGGCTTTGGAAAGAAACGGCAGTATAGAAATAGGTCTAAAATTGGACGGTAGGGATGGATTGGGTACCTTCGCAAGAGGCAAGATAAAAGCTTTTAGCCATAACTTAGGGAAAATACCAGTAGAGACGGAGAAATTGATGATGTGAGTGAGAACTGGAGTAACAATATCGAGTATGAGAAGTATCATAGGTCTACTCACATCATCATATCCGGTTGCGGAAGATTTTATTGAAAGTATGGCTTTTCTAGTATCATCGTCAGTCACTGAACTGAAGTCGAAAGAATTACATGATAACAAAGGCATGGAATTAAGTTCCTGGAGAGTCGTAGCTTTGGTGGTCAAATGCAGACGTGATGCAGAAGAGAAGTGTATATTCAAGTCATTGAGTGAAATATTTGGGATTAGAGAATTGGAATGTAATTTTCCAAATCCCAGGGATTTAAGGAACTTCCATATATCTGCAGAAGAGGAGTTTGAAATACTATTGTGGAAGTAGCGGCGTTTGGCTGTTCTTACCACCTGATTACAACGGTTTCGTGCTCGCTTATATTGTTGAAAGGTGGTACTGTTCCGATTCTTTTTAAAAATGTGAAAAGCTCGATCTCTTCTTCTCATTGCTCTACGCACTTCGTCAGTTATCCACGGTGCAGGAGGTCGGCGTAACCTGACTGCTCGAACTGGTGCGTGCCTATCGAACAGGTTGAGAATTTGGGTGTTCAAATGAGCAATTTTGTCTTCCATATTATTTGCATCCAGCAATGGGCCCCATTCTATATTCTTAGCATCGCGGTGTAGTCGAATGGTGTCAATTTTATTGAAATTGCGTAAATACACAATCACTGGCTTTGGCTTGGAAGCTTTAATTTATACGACATGACCAAAAGATCGTGTCGAGAAAACGCGGGAACAGGCAGTTGATCATGATATAAAACATGATCCGCTGAACTAGTGCAAATGATGTCTAACCATGAATCTTCGGTGTCCACGTTGTGGTGAGTTGGACTAGATAGTAGAATATAGAGATCTGCCGAGTCCATGATGGCTTGAAGTTTGCGACTCTGAGGAGAACCCTTTAGCAAGTTGGTATTGAAATCACCCATTATTATAATATGTTTGTTATCTGTGCTGATGGAGTCGATTACCGATTCAATATGGGAAAAATAATCAGTTGAATGAGGGCAGTAAGCAACTCCGAGCACGACCCTCAAACCCTTAATTTTTACTTCTAGAAATAGGTACTCAGCAGATCCTCTATATTCTGATGGTGATATTGCAATGACATCATATGCATATTCCGATCGCAAGTAAATGGCTACGCCACCTCCACCTTTGCCAGTGCGATCAGAACGTATAAGTACAAATCCAGGAAGACTGTACAACGTGGAGGATAGGGAGGGTTTTAGCCAGGACTCTGAGATAAGTAGAGCATGGATGTATGGTGAGGAAAATATGTCAAGTAGATCTGAGTAATGGGCAGGAATGCTTTGCGCATTTATATGGCATAGATTTAAACAATTTGTAGAGGCAAATTTCGTGTGCAAATAATTACCCACGTTATCGATAAAAGAATCGTCTGCGGGTGAGGTAACGTTAAAAGAAGAACATGCAGAATAAAATGAGTCTTCATCCGATGACATTTAATCTATTATTATTAATAATAGCAAAAAAATAAATATATAGGGTATATGTAATAATAAATAATGTTGTATAATATATATGTATACTTATATATGTAATAAATTTTATATATACTAAATACTGTATTTATGAATATAAATATTAAAACAATGAAACTATTATGAAATATAAAAAGTTAATTAATCACTATTTGTTTTACCTGCCGGTCTGCCTTAAAAATTATTAATCAAGTTTACATATAAAAAGAAGATTAGCACAAATGTTTTAAACAGTCCAATGAAATAGCAATGATGTCTTACTCATATTTCACTTGGTCAAATTAAAAGATAATTAATGTTGTGTTCATCTTCTATACAACAAAGGACAATAGAAAGACATATATTATAATGTTAATGACTAACTTAAGTGAGCGATAAACAACAATTATAAGTAAGGCCGTGATCGTTTACTATTTTATAGTTCATTTCAAATAGGATGGCAGGATTCCACTTGAGACTTAGCAATTACAGCTGTAATGTTAATCTATTGTTGTGTGATTATTTTATTGCTTTAACACTTGAAGTTAAGCATCTGTTGATAATACTGAACCAGTATAGCTGGAATGACGAATTTTGGTACTTGAATATTAAAACAAATTAAATTGTAGATAAAAAACCTTTATTACTTTTAACTTAACTATTTTAAATACTTATAACAACTTGTTAATATTTTGTTTAATCAATCACTCTGAAGAACATTCATCGGTATCTGTGTCCTCACGCGTATTTATTATAAATGGTTGTATCCGATCCCTCGAAAATTCGTTTTCCACTCTTATGACATGAATTATACAAGACACAAGAGTATATTGTACATTTAATTTAAAATATATTAATAATTATGAAAAGATTAAACTGAGAATAAAACGCTATAATTGAATACAATCTAATGGGTAAAATACGAAAATTATATACAAATGAAATGAAGACATGGCTTAAAAACCAAGAATCCAGGC